TCGCCCGCGAGCCGTGTATGCCCGGGAAGGGGGGAACCGCCCGGAAGCAGAGAAATAAGATTTCCACACCCCCCGCCATTTATCTATAAAGTAGATTAAAAGAGAAGACAATATTGAGGCCAAGGCGGCAAACCTTGGTGATAATATCCAGTGAGTCACTAGTTTGGAGCTTATTTTGAGATGTAATGAATGAAGTTACTAACTCTCCTCTTGCCAGCATGTTTGGGTCTTGATTACGGTCTGGAGGAGATGGGTGTTTACTGCAGAAAGCGTCCAGGAATGACTGTGAAGCCTGGAATAATGGCATGGGGTGACACGTTGTAATGCAAAGTGCAACATCTTGCATATATACAGGGACTAATGGGAAGAACTTGTGCTGTAACCCGCTGTGTCTTTGGTTGGGAATAACCGGAGAAGTGACGGGATGTTCCAGTGAGGTCATTCGTGAGAGCTCATTGCGGTGTAATTGTGAAGAGGCAAGTAAAGACACAGGCCCTTTTAAGTAGGTGCTTCCTACTGACGTGAGGAAATCTTAATTCCACCGCACGGAGCCAGGGCGAGACCTGGAAGGTCATCTGGAAGGTCTGGTCACTTGCGCTCAAGAAAAGGTGAATTAGAAATAGCAGGGGTGCGAGGGAGAGCTGCTAAGATGATCAGGAGAACAGCGGGAGCGTCCAGCAGGCTGAAAATCAGAAGGAGGTGTGTAACCTCTGAGGTGCTGGAAGAGCCTTCCAAGTGAGAGCACTGAGGAAAGTCATAACAAGGTTAGGGCAGAACCATGGTTTATAGTTTATGAAAGGATTTTTCTGACATGGTCACCCGGCACAGTCAGGTTTCCTTGGAATACTGCGTTTGGCCGGCGCAATGTGCTGTGTGTGCGGCTTGGCTGCAGTTCACAATAATTGTCCCTTTATCAGAGAGAAACCCAGACCTTGCAAGAATCCTATTTTGTGAGGATTTAGGTCTGTATCTAGGAAAACGGTACAATTGCATAGAAAATTATATACAACCGAAGTATTGTAAGGGGGAAAAAATGTTAAGAGGAAATACTCCAGGGCAGATCTCTTGGAGCTGCAGGGCTGTGATTTAGCAATTCCCCCAGTTACTTAGGTGATACTCACTTGTGTAGAAGGTGTGGTTGAGTCTGTTTGTCTGCAGGTAGCTGGAAGCTTTCTGCCTCAGCACCGAAACGACTTTTCCATTTTCATAACTGAAAAGAAGAACAGTAAATGAAAATAAAGGATATTAATGGAGTAACTTCTCTCGTAACATATTATCATGAAACTCATTCTTAAAGAATGTTTTGATCAAAAAGAAAATTAGAAAGCCCACCTGGTGATCAAGTACAGGGACCAACATGTCGTTCAGTCAAATGAGACCTCGAACATCGCAGGTGAGAGTTTTTGTACTTTTCCATAAAGATTTTTTTAGATTTCACAAAAATAAAAAAATATTAAAATAAGTGACACTGCACCATTGCTAGGAGACCTGGGAGGAAAAAAACATGTTTTTAACATAGTATATATAGAAAGCATTCTTTTCTAGTTTATATTTAGTAACTTAGCAATTGCAGAAATATTTAATATAGCTTATTTGCATGGCGTCTAGTTATAGAGAAGTGTATCGTCCTTGTCAATACCATCTGATTTTCACTAAAAACATCCAGACCTAGACATTAACGGTCCCACAACTACCACAGGTTTGAATGCAATCTAAGTGAACCTTGCTCAGAGCAGGCTTAGTTACTCTTTTTGCACACATTGCCAGGAGCATTTCTGTGCTTCCAAGGTGGCTAATATTATTAACAACTGTCAGAAATATTTTGATTTTTTTTTCTTACTGGCAAGGTCGAGTTGTGGTGCTGTTTGGATCAAGCTTGCAGGGCTTTGCACTTTTTATGAGATGAACAAAGGTAGGATTTCAGCTGAAGTATTCCTGTAACCATGACATGCTTCAGAGTATCAACTGGTTTTGGTAAGCTCTGTCCATTGCTGTCACAGTGACATAAAGCGGTAGCACAGGCTCTATTTTCTCTCATTTCCATTGTTGAGCTTGTTCTAATGTGACTTATTTTGATGCTGTCAGCTGGCATTCGATCACAAATGGCTCTACCCATCGCTGTTCTCACTGTCTAGTCATCATTGTCAGACAGAGCCTCACTCTTCTAGTCCATGTGCTAACATCAAAGAAACCATTCCTGCCTCCAGAAATTGAAAGTCCACCTAAGCGAAACAATGCATATAGGAAGAGGGTTATAATATATCTACAGTTGTGGTCATCTATCCTTTATTTAGTTGGTGGAGCTCCATGTTTTTTATGTCCCAGAAGAAGTGTGGAACTTCAAGCTGAATACAGTTCCTGTAGCTCTTACTAGCAAATTCATCTCAGCCGGATTTATAAGGTGAGTATAGTCTTAGGCTTCATGTACATGGTAGGTCCTTTACATTGTCCTTCAGTCATTTAGTCCAGCTGTTGCTCTACAGAGCACAATTACACCTGTCAGAAGAGACTTGTTCTCTAATCATTTCTGGAGGATAAGTGGTGCCCATGACTAGCGTTACGTTTATTTGAACTGTATCAGGCTTAGCTCCATTGCAGCCCTTGGTGTAGAGCATTGAAACGCACTTCCAGAGCAGTGCTAGTATTTCTGCAGAATAATTTATGTTGTAAATTCACAGTGTTATATTCTTTCTGTCTTTTTGAGCTTGATTATCAAAATCTTGAATTCTTTTTGGCAACGGGCCAGCTTCAAGACAGAGTGGCTTGATGAAGACGGGATAGCCTGTCAATTCCCAGGAACAGGGATATGACGATCTGAGCTCTCTCAATCCGAATAAAGAGCTTAAGCCATGTTTCTCAAGGGGAAGCATTACAGCCCATGCAACCACCAGCATATTTTCTTTCTTCCTCAGTAGTATTTCTGAAAGGTTGCTTGACAATCCTAGTACTGTCTGAGTCAGCTTAACAAGGTATTCCAAGGTCTAAGTACAGGCCACTTCCATTAATCATGAAATTAGAGGAAAATATTAAGTGTGTAATTGTCTACGGCCCTGAGTTCTTGTTCCCATGAACTTGATTTCTCAGCCTCTGTGATCTTTTATTTATTCCTCATTCCTCACCACAGAAACCATACTTTTGTTATTTCTAGATGAGATGGCTGCAATGAACTCTAGTTTGCATTACTTTTAAAGGAACACCCTGAAGCAAATTACTCAGATGTGACTAGTCTTCTGCTAGCCAGTGGCAGCAAGTAAGAAATATATTACTATATGTTCCTAGCCGCTGCACTGGCAAATAATTTTCAGATAAATTTCTGCCCTATATCTCAGGTTCTGTATACCTAGATAATTTTCTCCCATGATACATTGTAGTTACTTAGATGTTTTCCCTGCTGTTCGTAAATGCCTTAGATTTAGGTTTCCTTGCTGGTTTGGATGGGCATTATCAGTGAAGGATGTGCAGTGTTAGAATTGCCTCTGAAAGAGCTTGCACTTATTGGGTTTCAGAAGACCATTCAAGGGGCATATCTTCTCTGAGACATCAGCTTGAAGAAATGATAGTGAATGAGAGATATTTGAATTACAGATCATCTCTGTTCTCACGTAAGACCTTGGAAGGATGTGTATTGAATTATGTATCCATCTTTCACATATTTCTTTACACATTTGAAATAAATGACATTAGGGCTAATATCTGCAGCAAGTGTGGACAAAAAATGGCTGGGGAAGAAATAAACAGGAGCTAAATGCACAGGGACCAAGCAGTGTGGCCTAGGTGTGTCCACTCTGCAGACTTTGGTCTCTGCTGCGTGCCTGTGCTCCAAGGCAGATTTATGATCTTGAAGAGGGTCCTCTAAGTCCAGGGTGTTTGAAATAATGCAAGGGAAGCATTGTAGCCCGCTGAAGTGGTGTGTTTATGAGATGAAAACTGAGGGTGGTTTTACATACCTAGGGTGTGAAATGAAGGCATATAGGGCTATTTGTTTGAAAGTGCAAACAAACCCTGACAGGTTAATGCTGAAGACCTGTCCAAGTTGAAGGGGTGGCACGTTCTTGTCTATACTGTTTACTGAGAATGGCACGTGCTATCCCCCAAGCTATGTTTGTGCTTGAAGAGTGATAGCTGCCTGGGCCAAAATCATGCTAGGTAGTATACTAGCACTTGATCAGCATGGGTGATTAACAGTCTCAGGCCTGAATTTGTTCCCTGGTTTATTTTATATGGCAGCATAGGAGCAATTAGAATTGCTAATGTTGTGCTGCAGAGCTTTTGTGTGCCTCTTGCACATTTGGTTTTATTCTGCGGAGATGCTTTTCATTCTATAGTGATTTTTATACTGAGCTCATTACTTTAATATTTGCATGGTTTCCAGCAGTACATTAAATGATGCAATTCATATTCGCGTCAGCTCTCGCATCCTCAAACTATGGTGGAAATAATCACACTGCAGTGTTTGGTTTTGATTTAAAATACATTTGCATGTACGCATGCACACACCCAACTGTAAATTTGTGTTGGAGAAGGCAAAATCAAAGGAATGTGCCTGCTACTTAAAGTGGGCAGTCATGAAGTCTCCTCTAGCCCTTAGTGCTTAAAGGGGTATGTTCTACAGTCCTGGACCAGCCCCACGAAACTTTGTCATCTATATGGAAATGCATGACTGTAGTTTCCAATGCTTTTGTTGTTCATCTGCAGATGAGCAAGAGCATTCTGAAGGAGTCATTTTCAAATTTCAGTTACTTCCATATTCTCCCTTTGTATGGGGTTCCTAAAATACGAATATTGCCAGTTAATGTTATGACAGCCCTTGTAATACACTCTACCATAATGTGATACACATTGCTGACTCTACCACACCAAGAGTCTCTGGCCTGTATGTAATTAGATTCTGTTCTAGGACATAGTTCCCATTTTCGGTCATTCTGTCCATGCAAGCCAGCATGTATATAGCAGTATCTTCCCCCTCTTACTAATTAGACATCATTATTTGATCTTACAGATGTATTAATGAATAACAACATTCTAGGGTGCCTCCTCACATCACCTTAAGAGTGCTACGGGGGAAGCTTGGAGAGTACCTGGGTGGAGCTGCAGTTGCAGATAAATTCACATTTTTAAAATGCATTGGGAAAAAGCTAGCAGTGGTAAGTTAATATTTTTTTTCTTTAGTGCTCTTCTGCTTTATCATGTAAACCACAGATTTTGTTCCTGCAGATTAGATAATATCACAAGAAAATTGAGGTAACTTTAGAAGCACTGTTAGCATTTGTTTTTAAACGTGCTGGAGCATAAGCTCTTGTCAGAGCACATCTACTTCCCCAAATACAAAGGCACAGCTGGATAGGTATATTAGAAACATCCTTTAAAGCATCAGATGTAAGTAGCTGCCATCCAGTGAAAAGATGCTAGTTTTGAAAAGTCAATGGATTAATTATGACAAATCTGGTTGCATTAAAAAAAAAATTCCCCTAAGGTCATTATTACCAATACGTGGTTGTGAATATAGCACTTGGAAGAATTTGCAACAGAAGCTGAGTAAGTCAGAGTTCCTCTAATGGTTCCTGCTGTGACCTGCCCAAAAGCCTTTAAAGATCAGTCTCTGAATGAAAACTTCTCTGGATGTACATTTGTGTTCCAATAATTAGTCCAGTAATACAGCCTGAGATTTATGTAAACAAAAACCTACATCTCTGAATCATAACTGTTCCTCACATTGATTCTCTATACATTTATATCTTACAAACTATAGCTAAAGATTAAATAAACTTGGAAATCAGTCCAACTGAAAGTTGTTCGTGTAATACACAAAGACTTAAGTGATGTACATAGAATACTTTCTTTCACTTCTCATTTCACCTCTGTTTCTCACGGATTTGGAAATTAATTGCAAGCTGGAAATTTGGTGCTGTTCTTTATTTCATTTGTAGTTGAGTTATCCCTAAAATTACCCACACGGAAGAGTAAAATAAATAATAAGTAATGTGCAAAAACTAGGTGGAAAAATCTGAAGAGAAACTTAAAGATGGTAACACAATCTGAATTTGAAAATGTGTGTATGTCTTCAAAGAATTGAGGTGTTTTTAACTGCATGATAATAAGTAAGATGGTATATTTTCTTCCCCACTGATAGTTCTGAGAGAAATGGAGAAATTTTCCAGCTTCCTTTAGAATGTCAGGAATTTAATAAAGTATTTAATAGAGAATTAAAGATATTGGTAGATAAAAGTGAAGATTTTTAGCAACAAATTAAAGATATAATTTTAATTTGGGGTATTTACTCTTGCTTGTTGTTTAACTTTATAACAAAGTGTAAAGCAATAAACCAACTAACTGGTTTATTTGTTGTTTAGGGTCATGGTAACCTCATTGAATTACATCTCCATGATCAAATATTTGTTGAGTGGTTTTTTTTTCCCTCCAGTCTTCTGTTTCACAACAGTAACAACGTAAGCAGTACTAAGAGCTGTACCCTACTTGCAAGTAAGGATCTTTAAATGAAAAATAAACATAAACCAAAACCGTGTTCATTTGCTCTTCCTTTTCTTTCATGCAGCCTGTGTCTCTTAACAGTGAATCGAGGGCATTGCCTGGCCACTATTGAGAACAGAATTTGGCCCCATGTTTAGTTCAATTTCATTATTTAAATGTAAGCTCAGATTTCTTTTTTTTTTCCCTGTTGGAGCACATCTTTCAAATATACATTGATTTTCTTAGACTTTGTTTTTAGGACGACTGTTGAAATCTGAAGGTGTATATCACACAAAGAATATCAAAACAATAAATACAAGAAGGCATGAGAGAGTCATAGGGTTTTTTTTTATATATACATTAAATATTTTGCAGTAGTGTATCAGGTAAATAGAGAAAATTATGTGAGACTCAGCATTTCTGGTCAAATTCAGCTTGAAGCAACTTCTGGTAAAGACAGTCTAAGGCTTTCTTCTGCTGTGACTGTTGGCTCAGGTCCTTTGAACCATAAGAGAAAGTGTAAAGGATAAAGAAATTTGTTCAGTACATCCATGTACTCTTGTGGGTCTGATTTAGATTGTGGAAAAATAGACAAAGTTTCAGTGCCGTGTCAGAAAATAGTGTCGTATTCTATGTTCCTTCTTCCCCATCAGGCCATTACAGAAGATAGTGCTGGTTAAGAAAAATGTAGTATGTAAAGATGATGATAGAATACAGAAATTAAGTCATATGCAACATTATTGGTAAAAAAGTATTTTATTGGTTACGCTTCCATTCTTTATCTTCCAAGGTGAAAGCAAAGCAAGAAGCAGAACTGGAACTGAAGTCATTTGCTCCTCCTTATGTATGTATTGTATGGCTTTTAAGCTGTCATTTTCAGAAACTTTTTACATTGCACATTTCCTCTTTTGTGTCTGATTAATATACTGCATATTTTAGGCACTTTATCCTGAATTATATGTATTACCTGGAGTGGACTGCTTTGAAGATGTTTATCCATTGTCATCATCAACTCAACAGAAACATCACTTTAATGCAGAAGATAATGGATCAAGATTATCCAGTCTTCCCCCCAAAAAACCTGAAAAAAGCAAACGATTTTTAGAAAGCACGCAAAGCAGTCATCAGCTAGAAAATCAGGAAGTGCACAGTCCTGTCAAATGGGGTGAGAAAGAACCTGTTCCAGTTTTGCACACAAAACATGAGCAAGACCATAACAGCAGGACTGAAGAAAAACAGATACAGTTTAGAGAAGAAGGTAAGTTTCACCAGTGTCGTGAAGGAGGATGATGAAGGAGGAGAAGAATAACTATTAAGGTAAACATTTATACTAAAATAATATTTCTCTTTTCCAATATCAATTATTATGCAGATCAAAATGGATCCAGTGCATCTCTCTTTGCACCAAGTAATTCAAATCCTGCAGATTCGGAGTCTGGAGAGAGTGATATGCTATTACAGGCCTCTCAGCAAAATCATCTCAGCCAGAATCAAAAAAAGCATAATACTCCTAAGTGGAATGACAAAGCCAAAGGAACTGCTCTTACTCTTCCTGTAAACCACCGTGATGAACAAGGCCAGAATAACCAAACACCCCCAAATCCCATTAAATATCGAAAGGGTACTACTGTTCATTGTCATCTTTTTGCTAAAGCATGCCTTTTAGAAAGTTGGCAGAGTAAAGCTGAGTTTTAAGAAATCTACAGTTACAGCATGAGTTGGAATATTGCTATCAGAACAATAGTCTAATTTTAATAACAGTAACAATAATAATAATAACTTTGAAGGAGCTGTAGTTTTTACTTTGGATGAGTCCTTCTTTATCACAATGTACTGATACAGGGAAACACTTCACTATAGTTGATGCATTTGTCTAATCTTATTTACATGAAAATAAATTACTAAGCAGCTACTGTAAAGATTGGAGGATAATGATCCCATAATTCAACAGCAATTTTAAATGAAAAAATCTTGTTAGGAGTATTTCGGGGAAAGCATTTTGTCACTTAAACTTTCATTGTCATCTTATCCATGGCTACATTACTACTGAAGAGGAAGTGTTTCCTCCCCTGCCTCCTATATAATGTTTATTTATATGCTATTGAACAGTGGCATTCCTAAAACTGAGAGGTGGGAGAACTCTTTGAGCAGACTAGAGTGAAAATAGTACAAAAGCATGGAGGGGATTAAAGCATACATAAACTAGATAACAGTTCTGTGCCAAAATAGAAAATGTTGTTTGGAAGAGACCTATTAACTACTACTACTTTAAAATGGGGTGTCTTACGGATACTGGGGGCCATTAAATCTCCGAACAGTTTTCTAATGTTCTTAATATTCCTAAATTTTTAGTAATTACCAAGAAAGAAATGATTGATGCATTTAAATTGGATTTGAGTGACCGCTTCTATATTAACATCAAAATTATAACAAACTGGTTTTGAGGAAATACTTTTGAAAGAAAAGCAGACTTTTACAGTTAATGTAAAAAAGGTGACCTTTATTCTCTTGCAAATTTTTAATGAATAATTATTAAATGAGGCGATACTCATTTTTCATAGGTATGGGCACCTTATAGATCTCAGTTAGAATGATTTTCTGGATGTCCGGTACTTTGAATAAGAAAACAAAAATTTGGGTATTGTCGTCTTTGAGACGTGTCTGGAGAGTGTATTAGAAAAGGCTTTCATGGATGACTTTTCAGTAATTTCAGTTTCCAATCATAATTGGTCAAAAATAGCTTTGTCCCTCCATCGTCGTGGTAACTGATATTAAGTGTGAGACCACTTAATATACAAATATATATGTATATCTACATATATATGTGCATATATATATATACATGGCTGAAAAGTTTTCCAGAACTTTATTTTACATGATGAAGGATGTAGGATTTTGTAGTATAAAGTTGAGGTAATGTCTGTCAGCAATTTTATCTTGAAATATTTATTGTATTATTTATACTTTAAAGCAGATAACATTTATTAATTAATATTTAAATGCAAAACATTTTGCTGTCCCTTTCTTTGCTGGCTCCAGTTTGTAGGGGATCTTCAGCCTCTGAAAGGCAGAAAAGCGTTAGATACAGCATTAGTTTAGGGAAGGTGAAATAATTACGTGGTTTATCTGTGATAAGCTTTCCTGTATTAGTTACCAGAATTAGTTAGATACAAATTCTCAAAACAAAAATACCTTTTTTACCTTTATTTCTTTCCTCTGTTATTCACACAACGTTTCCATACCCCAGAGATAAGGTTATTTATTGGATTGATTCACTGAATTTCTAATACAGGTTGGAAAGTCCAGGCATTGACAGTCAAAAGAGCTTGAATTTTGTGAGTATAATCTATATGTTTTGATCATCATTATCCTATCACAGAACTAAGCACCAAACTGCTCATTACAAACATGGAAAATAATGACCACCGAAAAGATACCAAACTAAGAAGAGACAGAACACAGGATTCTGGAATTCCTAAAACAGTGAAAGGCCAAACCACAGAATATGTACACAAAACCCAAAGGTTAGTAAACGATGATTCTGATAAAGTAATGGATAATGTTAATTCGTAACTAGAAATTTATTTCACAGACTTCAAATAAATGAAAGAGAATGGTGAAAAAAACATTTTGTTACATGAATTTTCACTTGCTTCTTTGATTTTTATGTGTAGCTTGCAGCAATACAGAACTAGCAAGTCTATGGCTGATCCTGGTGAAAAACTGGATAGTCAGGTGTGTTTTTCAAGGTAACATATTCTTAGTAATCTGGAGCAGTAAACATAGTCCTCCACCTATAAATAGTCTAATTTTGTAAGACAGATAACTCATTAGAAATATGAAATATTCAAATATAGGTTTGAGAGTAATTAAGAAAAGTTAATTAATGCACTGGTACTTTGCAGATTTGCTAATGAAAAATCAACTGTATTTCTAAACAGTGAAATAATCAGAAGTTATACCTCTGGTTATCATTTAACAGGAACTACATATACAATAACTATCTCAGTCTAATTAATGTTAGCTGAATTTTTTTACAGTTTCTTGACAGTAGCATTGTATTGGTTTTATCGGTGACATTTTTATAATTTCATATTTCCTGTGGGATAAATCTGTCTTCTCTCGAGCAAAACTTCTGGTAAGAAAAACTACAAAATTCGTTAAAACATATGTATGATGTAGTCATAACATCAGAATAAGAACATACTTAGGAAGACACAGGACTCACATGCAATCATACAGCGTAATAGCTGTCACTATTAACTGTCATCTGTGAGCTCTTGTGCAGAAGTGATTGTAGTGGAGTCTTATGAAAATACTAATGAAATTGAAAATCTGCAGTTACAGATTTTGGTTTAGAAATGGTCAGTCCAGACTTCATAAGCAATGAGCCAGATGGCAGTTTTAAGGTCCGTTATTCCTGGTCTTGCACGGGAGTGTCAGTAACTTGCGGGGTTATGGACATGGACAGGAACAATTAGCAATAGTCTACATTTTTGTCCATATGCTCTCTGCGATATAAGTGTTCAGTGTTCCGATTTTATTTGCAGAGGTCCAGCTGTTTGTAAGTTAGTTATCATTTGTACTGGTAACAGAATAGAAAAGCTTATATGCAGAATTCAAATTCAGCCCTCCCTTCACTCAGACCACTTTCAGGGCATATGTTTAACGTAACTATTCAGGATTATGAGTTATGTACTTAGAGTTGTGTCTTTTGACTCTCTAGGCAGATCAAAACGAGCAAAATCATCTTACTTGTCCAAAAGAATATATTTCGCCTCCTAGTCCGCCTTTTCTGGCACTTTCTGTAAATCCAGCTCAAGTTCCCGCAATTCAGGCAGAAAGTGAGTATATGATTCCAAGAAATTGCAGGGGAGTGAACATTTAATCAAGACTGAATAGTTAATGAAGACAGAAATACCTACTCTATGAAAAAATTTGTACATACATTCGTTCGCAGTATTGTTACAAATTTTAATTTGTGGGTGGAAAATTCCAGGCATTTATAATTGCATGGGCTGTTCATAGAGCATGGCAGGTTCCCAGTGTTAGAAAACCCAGCTTGCGGACTTGGGGATGGAAGGAGAAAAGGAGGGAGATCAGATGAAATACTGCTGGCTCACGTGCGAAGGTAGCAAAGAAAACCACCGGTAGTATTGCTGAGGATCCTCCGCTGGGGTGGAGGAGGAGGATAGTGAGAAGGTAATTGATTGACCTGGTGTTGCAAACTAGTGAAAGTTTGAGATACTATCCTGCCTATGACCAGCTGGAGTTCAAGGCAAGGTTTTGCTACAGGTTATATTGCAAAGTATTTTGAGCAGGAAATAGGCTTTTGGAGGCTTTTTTGGCTTTATGTGGCAGGAGTTTTCAATGTATGCAGTGTATATATATCTTGAATATATGGTTTTGGTGATATGTTGTCTAGACATATAAAAGGGTGTTTATTTGTTTGTGTGTGCGTATGAATGCCTGGATGCATGCTGGATTTCTCACTTTTTTCTAATGCACCAGCCATTTCCAAAAGTTAGAGCTAGTTTATTAAAATAAAAGAATTTCTACTGCCTGTTCTGACAGAGCTTTTGGCACGATTTATGGTGGGTGCATTACAAAAATCTTGATTGATCCTTCCAACTTACAGTATCCAGATGCTTGCTAAATATAATTATAATGTCTTTAGAAAAGAAGATGGTAGAACGATTGCAACGAATGAAGAAAGACAGAATGCACATGGAAAAAACTAGAGAAGAACTGATCAAAAAAGCTAAAGGGCTCCTGGAACAAAATAAGCTGAGGAGATACCACGGTACGCTTTTAATTTACTTTGGAATTTGGAATGATTGAGAAATGACACTGAAACCAATATGAAAATGTGCGTTTCCTTGTCAGTGAGCTTAATTATGGAGAGAGCAGTTTGCTAACCCATAGCTCCGAGAAGGCTCGTTTGTGTAACAGCATGCTGGAAAGATTCAAGGTTGCAATGTTTTCCTCCCACTTTTTTGTGGCAGTATTATAAATCTAAAAATATCCTGGCTTTTATAAACCATTCAAGTTGTGTCCCATGTACATACAGTGCCCAGAGAGCTACTGCAGGCCGCTTTGCTGTTTGAGGCCCAGGGCAGCCGACATACTCTAAACCTGCCTTTAGCTGGTGCTTACAGAGGTTTTTCACTGTGTTGATAGGGCTTCTAGTTAAATTGCCAGCATAATACTCTTTGTTCCTCCTATCTATCTAATGGTACTCAGCTTATGGCATGGAAGTTACAAGCCTGTTGTGACAAGCTTGACAAACCTTGTTTTTTAACAAGGTAAAATCTCATTGAAATCCCACCTAAATTTTCTTCGTAAAATTGTTTTCGAGTTTATACTTAAACTATCCTCCCTAAGTCACATTCCAGTTATACAGAGATGAGGTTTAATCACTTTGATGTTTTGAGAGCATTCTCTTTGTACTTAAATACAGCTAAATCACTAGGAGTCTCAACTATTATTTGTAGCTTTGTTGAAAGGAGAAGACAAGCCAATTCTTCCAGTTATTCTCTAAGGGCATGGCTACGCTGCACCCTGCAGCATGGTGAAGTTGTATTTTAAAAAAACCAAACTGGGGTGCTTGAAGCAGTGAAGCTGTAGTAGCGTGGAGCTGCAAAGCAAGCTAATTTACCCTGCTGAGATAAGCCCTAAATGGCTCCTGCATTGTCTTAAATTATGTTATCCAGTTAGGTAAAATAAAGTTTTTTTCACAAGAATTCAAACAGCTTCTACAGGTTCTTTAAGAAGCGTCTCTACCTCTGAATTATTTTTCAGACCTGTGGAGTTTCATAAGTAAGTGCATTTGCAAACATGTTTCTTCACAAGGTATGAAGGGAAGAGCATATTCGGTAGGAACAGGGATCCAGTCTGTATTTAATATCCTCCTAAGGTTGCCATGCTGACAGTCGCTCTCAGTTACGTACCATGTAGTCCTCCAACAGCTGGGTTCTTTTTGGTAAGTTTCTGAGAAGCAGTTGTCCTGATTTCCTAAAACATGCCTTGAAAGAAGGAATCATTTAAGACACTTTGCAGACTAGTGGACGTATGTGGCCATAAACCTGCCACACCAGGTACGGGGGGATTTATGTGCCAGCTGTTGATAGCACATTAACAACATAGGAGAAATCATTGTTAAGTGTAAAGGTAAATAACTGTTCCCCATAATCTTGGGACTTCTGTATAAAACGAAGCTGTTCAAAATCTCTGGCCCTGCAGAGCTTAAGTTTTGCGTAAATCTACAGTGCTAAATATTCTGCTACAGTAAAGCTGTGGACTTCAGACTGTGGTGGGCATACCAGTCTTCACAGGTCTGGAGCACTGACTGTGCAGCTGAAACCTGCAGAACAGCCAGGCTGAACGACATTTTGGTTCCGGACCTTGTGTTACATCTTGGTGGACAGATAGAGCCTTTTGTTGCAGGTGATTGTGTGAAAATTCCATTGCATTTATAGTGAATGTAATTTTAATGAAGATTTTTCATCAATTGCTTTTTTTAACGAAACCTACTGCCATGTTTTAATGCGTACATTGGCCAGCTGAATCTTCTGAGGTCAGTTGGTCATTACTGTCTTCAACAGACCTTATGATAAAGTGAATAAGACCAAACAGTATTACTGTTTTCCTGTGTAGTTCGTGAGGAATGGAAAAAGAAGTACTTTGAAACTAAGAAAGCTACGGTTTCACTGGAGGATGCTTTAAACAAACTGCGACAAGATTTAGAGCTTTACCACCAGAAATTACTCTTGCAATTGGAAGCCAGAGATAGCCGAAAACGACCAAACAATATGACAACCTCCAAGGTATTTGCTTGTATTATTTAATCTCTCTTTTTACACAGCCTGTTTTTTTGGTATAAAATATAAATTAAGGTAACAAATCAATCACCAACCAATGAGTTGTAAACTAGCTTTAACAGCCAAATATCCCTCAATGATCTGAGGTATAGAATTCCTTCAGTGCTCGAGTCTGAGCATTTGATTCTTTCTGCTTTGTGTTTGTACAATACCTTCTTGTAACAAAATCCCCGTTTGTTCAGTATGATTAATGAATTGTTCAGTTCTGTATTGTTCTCATCATCCCAAATTTCATGTACAGAGATAATGAATTCTAGTTTGGAGGACAAGAAATGTCTCTGAGGCTTCTGGAGTGGGTTGCACCTGAACTATTGTGCAACTGTGAGTCTCATGTTATGTTGTTGGTGTCAAATCACGGGAAGTTCAGAGGAATTAAAAAAAGACAAGACAAAAGAAAAGGGGGAAACACCCTTCCCAATAGTTGTATCTGCTGATTTTCTAAATGCGTTAATGGAAGCAAGTCTGTTGGCAAATCTAAAGCTAAACTAGGAAATATAAATGTCCCTTTCTTGTATCTGAAAGGTGGGAGAGTGTATGTACAATCTAAGAGTGTATATTATATACAAAGGTGTATTCTTTGAGCTATCTTAATATAAATATCTACAGTATAGAAATATTAATAGGGTTGATATTGCATTATATTACTAGCTACGTTCAGAAATGTTATTGCTTCTTTTGGGGGGGATATCAGGGGTTTTTTTAGGTCTCTCTGGCTAGGCACAAAGAGGCCTTATGTGAAGGATATGCACAACTTTACATGCATACAGCAGTTATTTATCGGCTAGCACACACAGAAGATAGCTAGGATTTAATGAGCTATTAGGCTAAGCACAAGTACGCTCTCCACCCCTCGTAAGCTACACGCTGGCCAGGCGGACATCAGTCAGGCGGGAGTTTATCTGCCCTAAACATTACATGAGTGCAGCAATCTCCTCAGTAAGTGTACTGTGACAGAGTGATGCTAAGCCTGTGAGAGAAGAAAAAATATGATTTCAGGTATACCTTTTTATTATGAATGGAGAGTAGCCATAAAAGATAATTGCAAAATAACGTGCTGTTACTCAGGAGACCTGATCTGGATCTTAACTTCCCAAAGCAACAGGGAGTGGAAGAACCTCCGCACCCAGCTGAAGGGCTGGCAGCAGAAGGGAGCTGCCCTCTCTTGGAGAGCAGACTGCTTACAGACCAGAGGCAGCCCAGCACACATTAAGGACAAGAAGCAAGCAGGGGAGTTGGAAAGAGTTTAGAGGATTGTTTCTGAGTGGTGAAGTAACACACAACGAATGAAGAGATGCACTAATGCTGCACTTAAAAGTCTTGTTGTTTTTGTTGTTGTTTCATATAGAATTACACAATCATCCGGATTACTACAGTGCAGCATGAACTCGATCAACTGAGGAGGAAGCTGGATGATACAAAAATGAAACTCATAATAGAAATCAAGGTACTCTGCCTTTTAATTAAAACAGTTGAAATGTTGCTATGTATAAAACAACTTAGATCTTCCCAAACATTAGATGATGTAAAGATTTGCTAAACAGTTCTTGTTTTATGCTGTTAGTTTTATGGTGCTAGTTGTCATTGTAACTTTATCACTTGAGCCTAATTACTCCAGAACACCAGGTTATTAGACGATTTTGAATGTATGGCATTCAAGCAACTTAGATTTTCAAGGTACAATGTAAGCTAAGCTTTACAGTCTCTCTCATAAAATTTTCATTTCACTCAAAAGGTGATTGAAGGAACATACTTGGTGATGTTGAAGAGTATTTTAAGTTTTACTGAATCTTTAGGTCGATTTACGGTAACAGTGAGGCACTGATCAGTAGACGACCATGGCTAAGAAAAAAAAAAACTGGTATAAAGAGGGGGGGAAAAAAAAAAAAGAGAATGGCTCTCCAAGCAGATGGCAGTCCTCTTCATCTGCTTTATTCCATACCAGTGCTGTCTGTGGCTCCCGTTGGAAGGAAGCTGATGGTATAGGCCTTCGCATTGGATAGCTTTTCAGCTCTGAATGCTTGAAATAAATAGAATCATAGAATCATTGAGGTTGGAAAAGACCTCTAAGATCATCGAGTCCAACCATTGACCCAACACCACCACCCACTAAACCATGTCCCTAAGCGCCTCATCTACACGTCTTTTAAATACCTCCAGGGA